GTGATTACATTTCCTTACAAATTTGTTTTTTCCTAGAGCGAATAATACCCGCTTTTAAAAGATGTACTTAACCTATCATTTTCCCCCTTTCTCCTGGAGCGCTTGCTCCTGGAGCTCCCTGGACTCTTCCTTTCTGGAACAGGCTCTCTGGGGCTGTGCCATCTGTAGTCCTGGGACTTGCCTCACTTCTTTCCTGAGGTAGACCTGTTTTCTAACATCTCCTGTCTTCGTCCTTCTTGCCGTGTGCTCTCATTTTACTGAGGCACATCTTCCTGTGAAAGAGCGTGTGGAAAGTAAATTGTTGAGTCCTTGCCTATGTGAAATGCTTTATGTAACTCTCATACTTGGTTAATATTTTGGCTGTGTATGGAACTTGAGGTTGAAAGTTATTTTCCTCAGAATTTTGAAGGCCTTGCTCTGCTGTCCTCTGGCATCTGTTATTGCTATTGAGATGTCTAATCCCATTTAGATTTACAGTCCTTAATATTTAGGGTGACTGTATAATTCATTGTCAAAACTAGAACCCTTGAGGTGCTAGCCTGAAAGAATAGCAGGACAGCAGGCATTAACCAGGACTCTCTGGGGTAGCTGGGGCCATGTGGTCACCCTCTTTACATGTGACCTATTTTTCCTCTAACCATTTAGGATCTTCTCTGCTTCTGGAGTTCCACATTTCATGATGATGTATCTTACAAAAGGTCCTTTTTCATTGCACTAGGTTGCACTAGGTTGTGGTGGGTTCATTCTTGTCCTTCGATTTGGGGAAGTTTTTAAAATTATTTCATTAATAATTTTCTCCCAGCCTTTGTTAGGCAGGTGTTTGACATTCTGGATTATCCTCTAAGTTTCTTTCTTCTCTCACAAATAATCAGGGGATATCATCTTTGGGCCTTCTTGTTTCATATCTAAGAGATTTTTGTACATTTATCTTCCAGTTATTCTATTGAAATTTTTAAACATTTCTGTTTTGCGTTTAATTTCTTGTTTTACTCTTTTCTCATAGCATCCCGTTCTTGTGGAAATGTGTCTTCTCTCACTTCTCTGAGGTCATCCATCGTGAGTTCTTTTCTCTTTCTTTTCTTTTTCTTTCTTCTTTTTTTTTGTGTGCGTTTGTTTCGTTTGTTCTCTGCGTTGCTTTCTTGAGTCCCTTTTTTTTCTGTTTGTTTTGGTCTGTGTCTGAGGCTTTCCTCAGATGTTGGTGATCCTTAACTGTCCCTTCGTGTTTCAGAGTAAGGCATTCAAAAGTATCTCTGGAACCTGGGCAGAGCTTTTTGGCTCCTTTATATATAATTTTGCTGTGAACTAATGTCTTGGTTGTTAGAACTTGGAAATCTTATTTTCCAGGGAGACAGGGGGCGACCATGCAGTTTCTCCAGAAAAGGCTCCTCTCCTCTCCTGCCTTGGAAATTTTACACATGGTGCTAGTGTTCTGTGTAGAGGGTGGGGGAAGGAGACAGAAGGTCCTAGAGTTGAGCATCGAGCCTTTCCCTTATGCCCCATCTCAGCCTTCCGTGCCTCACATCTCTCAGTTTGGAACTTTTGTGGCTCAGTTTTTGCAGAGAATAAAGCTTCTTTTCTCCCTGTGGGGTAGTCACTTGGTTGTGTGGGATAATGGAGAAGGCCCATGGTTCTGCCCCCTTCCCCTTCTCCACCTTTCAGGGTAACTGCGCGCCAAGAGCTCATCTCACAGGGATTCTGTGGGCCTCACTAGCTCCACCCTCACCTTTATTCCCTCTGGACATTTGGGTGATAACTTCCTTTTACTCCTTCATCTCCTGACTGTCTTTGAAAATTTTGTGAAAAGCTACTCTCCTTAGCTCTCCCTTTTCTCTTCTTTCTTGCGGGTTAATACATTTATTTTTTTTCCCTCTACTGTCTTTTAGAGGAGTTGAGAAGGGAGAAGAGATAGACTAATGTGTTCAAACTGCCATTTTTAACTGATTCTGGCGTGCATTTTTCCAGGCAGAGTATTATAAATGTTGATTCGATTCTGAATAGTACTGTCGGTGCCATTCCTCACATATGTTGTTATGGGTTAAATAGGTTTTTGTGGGCTGGCCTGGAAACCCAACTACATCTATGATTTTCCCCTAGAACTAGAGAAACAATCAAGCCTTTCTGAATTGACTCTCTGGAGGAATTATAACAGACTGGAACAAAAATATTTCATATATCTCTCCATTTTCCAAATCACATAGAAAATTAGGACTATTGTATCATTATTGTTGAAATAAAAAGCTCCAGAAACTAACAGAAACTGGAATTTTAATGGAAAAGTTTGGTCATAAAGTTAAGCTTTGAAAATTGAACTGAGAAGCAAAGCTAGGTTCTTCAGCAGTATCCCTAAAACTTCATTATTCAGCAACTTTTTTGAAAGCATTTTTCCTAATTAAATTTAAGCCCAGTGATAGAGCTGTGGGGAATAGCAATAGCCACGAGGAGCATTTGTTTACTTATTTTCTTGCTACTTTCTTATTCTTGCCTTGCACACAACAGGGTCTTCTGAAACATTGGACTGAATAAACTAGACTCGGCCAGATAGACCAATAAAACTCTCTTCCTAACCATGAATGACTAAGAATAGCTGTGAGACACTTGGGTAGTGAAAATGCAACCCAGAATATGTAAAGTACACAGGGTGCTTGAGAGTAAATGCTGCACCAGCTTGGTGTTGGAACTGCAGAGACCACTGCGAGTGTAACAGACCCACTGCGGTCATGCGGCTCCCGTTTCCAGCCTCCCACGTTGTGCTGGGGCAGCCTTCCCTGAGCGCTTCTTCCCAGTGGCCGTGATGGCCCCAGTCTCAAGGGATCAGAGATCATTAGGTAAACCAGGAATCGTGGCTGTTATCTCTTATGTGGCTGGAACAAGGTAAGGGCAATGAGATGTAGTGATCCCATTATTTTCCTTCTTTTTTATTTTGTTTTCTCTTCTTCTTTTTTATTAAAAGAAAAAAAGATTCTTTTTGTTAACCTCTCCCCCCACCCCCACCCCCGCCGCCTCCCCTAACCTTGCTTTTGATAGGATGCTGACTAGGAACCAGAGCCCATTTTGGCTTAGCCTTAAGGGCAGCTGTTTACAGAGTAGCGGTGTTACATAGGGTTCCTGTGTCGTATGTCTGTGTAACACTGGATTTGGATCTTGTATTTAGCTGCCAGAAGTGACTGTGATGAAGTAGGGGAGATAAACTGATAGATTGGCTGCCAGAAAGATGTTGGGAGTCAATCAGATAAACAGGGCAGAGAAATAGCTTGCTGTTTTCTAGTGATAATAAACCAGAGGCCTCTGGTCCCTGCATTTTTAAATGTAATTGCCATTGTAGTAATAATGTCTAAAATAAGCAAATGAGAAAACATCACAGGAGGTTTTTTATTTGCGATTGAGATATCCTTTTCCCTTTTGCAATAAAGGTTCGTCCTATATGGAAATGAGTATTTTTACAAATTTGTTGTGCTTCTTCCAGTGCCTACTTACATAAACAAATGACAATTAGAGAGTGAACTACTTTCGTAGGAATTTATCCCTCCTTCGTTATCCTCCCACAGACTTTGGCTGTTTAACTTGATGAACTATCTGTATTGCTCCCATGCCTTACCTACAAAATGATTACTTATTTTTGTGAAGAAACAAGTTTTAAAGTCAAACCTGTGTTATTGACAGGTGATAAGCAGGAAGGAGTTTATTTTAGTGTCTTCGCTTGGATTTCTCTCAGAAGATTATTTATTTATTTATTTTTGGCTGCGTTGGGTCTTCGTTGCTGTGCGCAGGCTTTCTCTAGTTGCGGTGGGGGGGGCTACTCTTCATTGCGGTGCGCGGGCTTCTCATTGCGGTGGCTTCTCTTGCGGGGCGTGGGCTCTAGATGCGTGGGCTTCAGTAGTTGTGGCACGAGGGCTCAGTAGCTGTGGCTCGCAGGATCTAGAGTGCAGGCTCAGTAGTTGTGGCGTACAGGCTTAGCTGCTCTGAGGCATGTGGGATCTTCCCAGACCAGGACTTGAACCCGTGTCCCCTGCATTGGCAGATGGATTCTTAACCACTGTGCCACCAGGGAAGTCCCTCTCAGAAGATTTTTGGAATTTTAATCTCTGTTGGCTGTTTCCCTGTATATAGCACTTGTGTAGGAGAGATGATATCTAGTTTTATTATTGTAATTTAAAATTCTCCTTCTTTAGTGTTTAACTTTTAAATCCATTGCTTCTTCTCACGTGGGACTTTAAGATCCAATGCAAATTCTTGAGTCTGTGTGTAAGATACAGATTTAGGCTTTGATTGCATGCGGTGGGATACCCAGTATTAAGAGGAGAGTAGGAGAGTGATTTAGAGTTCCCCTGGAGTTAATTGTGGGGCTGAGAGACTGGCTGTCTGTGTTGTGTTTCCAATATGCATATACGACTTTCTTTAGGTTCCTTATTAAAGTTGTGGCTGTGAATGTGTTGGTGTCATATATGGTTAAGTTATTTATTAGTAAGCATGCTAGGGTACCAGCTGTGGAAAGCAAGAGAGTGAAGTCCACACTTTTAGTTATATCTAATAAAGGCTTTTTGCCTAAGGAAGACCTTCCTGACTGCCGGAGGTTATAGGTCAGAAGTTAACCATGTACCATTATCCTGTTGGTGAGAAGCTGATGCGTGTTCCTCTTTGCCACCCAGCCCTTCCCACCTGACCTTTTATAGATTCTCCACTGATATCGATGAGGTGGACAAAACTAATCATAAAAACAGTGAAGGGAATGTTGCATACTCATTGATCCATTTGAAATGAACTGCAGTACAATAAGTCTTTCAAATGGACTTTGTTCTCAGCTATTGCTTATAGCTCTTTTTAAAGATATATAAATATGAAAGGGTTAATGGGAATTCAGTCATGCTCTTGCCACTGAGTTGTCCCTTATTGATTGTAGTTTAGAGCTGTCACTATGCCGTTCAGAATTCCTCCTGTGCCCTTTTAAAGTCAGTTGGTGCTGGGAGATGATAAATAAATCACTTGCTTTCCTTTTTCCCCAGCTCCTTCGAGAACTCATAGAACGGAAGACCAGCTCCTTGGATCCCAATGATCAGGTGGCCATGGGAAGGTAATTTAGATATGGCTTTCTATTCATGCAAGTAGGCTGTATAATAGTTTCTCCCTCTGAATCTCCTTAATTCAGCCTCCAAGGCAACGATTGGTCCTATAATTATAAAAGTTGAGAGTTCCCTGGTGGCCTAGTGGTTAGGATTCCGGGCTTTCACTGCTGTGGACCGGGTTCAGTCCCTAGTCAGGGAACTGAGATCCTACAAGTCATGCCGCACAGCCAAATTAAAAAAAAAAAGTTAAGCAAGATAACAAGAACTAGACAGGCAGAGTGATGGAAATTGTTTACCCTACCTACATTGCCTTAAGTGCAGTTTGAATAAGAGATTATAAAATGCCTATAGGTGTTTATTTTAGGGTTTGTTTCACAAAGTCCCTCTTAATCTCTTTGCTCTCTGGATTGGGCTGTGATTTTATCTGTATCAATCTCTGACCAGTGGGTAAAAAGCATCCACCCAGATGCATGCTCTCCGCTGTCAGGACGTGGCGCTGTGCACAACAGGTTCCTTGCTCTGGGAGAGTGTGCCCTAATTTAGACCTCCACCCCTTCAGTGAAAGCTGTGGCACAATTAGAAATGGAACGTGGCGGCATTACCCAGATGTCAGGGTAGAATGGAAAGTAGTGAAGGAAGGCCCTTGTGTATGCTTCATCCTGTGGCTGGAAAATAAAAAGGACGTTGAGAGTGCTACCTAATGAATAGTGTACATTTAAATAGCCATGAGCCATAATTTGCAAAAGCATGAAAGGAAACAAAAGCTGCAAGTATCAGAATGGGATTCTGGGGCAGAGCAGCATTTTGAGATCACAATGAAAAATTTGTGTTGATGAAATAATTTTATGTGAGTAAAACATGAATTTTAGGGTAGGATGTTGATATTTTGTATATCTCTGGAATGCTATAGAGAGCTGTTCACCATAAATTTAATGTGATAGAGCAAATTGCATTTAAGTGATGATTATATTGTACATTTATCTGACTTTACAATAAAATAGATTATGGTAATTAAGATTATATTAAGATTACAGTAATTGGATTTCCCTGGATTTTTTTTTTTGATGTTAAATTTTCATTGTGTAAATCAGGTAAGATGAGTAGCTGCTGCTGTTTTTCCTTTTTTCCCCCCACATTTGTTCATATGAGCAATATATGAAGATTTTCTTAGCCCAGTATCTTTTATTTGAAAAATTAATTTCTTTTAATCTAAAACGACTGCAGACTACCAAATGTAAAATAGATAGCTAGTGGGAAGCAGCTGCATAGCACAGGGAGATCAACTCGGTGCTTTGTGATCACCCAGAGGGGTAGGATAGGGAGGGTGGGAGGGAGACTCAAGAGGGGGGGATATGGGGATATATGTATACATATAGCTGATTCACTTTGTTATACAGCAGAAACTAACACAACATTGTAAAGCAATTATACTCCAGTAAAGATGTTAAAAAAAAAAAGTAAAATAAAATGACTGCAGAATATATGAATCTTGTTTGGATCCTGATTCAAGCAAACTAACTGTAAAATTGAGACGACCTCGGAAATTTAGAGTGAATATTTGATAGTAAAGAATTATTGTCAACTTTTTTTAGGTGTGACAGTGGTATTGAGATTATATTGGGGCTCTTGGTATTGAGATTATATTGCGGGAAAAAAAGCCCTTACCTTTGAACAACACATTCTGAAATATTATAGCTGAAATAAAAATTAAATAAATAAAATGACTGTAAAACTAGTATCAATAGTGGATAATTCTTAACACTTAGCAAAAAGTGGAAAGCACAGGAAAAAGCAGTTGGGCATTAACAATGGGAAAATTAGATTTAAAGAATTCACGTGCTCAAACCAAACAGCAGCTGCAATATTAGTCATAGAACAGGCCGCGCAGCTAAAACATTAAAAGCAACCCCAAGCAGCTATACTCAGTTTGATGGGTTTTCCTGCAGACTGGTAGACTTAGTGCTTGTCACAGTAACTCCAAATACTAAGGAGCATTGTTAACCAGATTTGCTGTAGAATTTCCCAGCTGCCATTTGTTTTTGTTTTTGTTTCTTTAAGCCATTGCACAAATCCTCGTCTGTTGATTAGTCTCTGTGGCCCCAGACTGTCTTGAGGAAGTTGATGTAGGTTGATGATTTCTTTCTGCAGTGTTGTTAGTGAGAAAAATTCCGATTTGTCGATACATGTAACTATTTCCATTAGTGATGATGCATAACATCGCTTGTGAATTTCCTAGGCAGTGGCTTGCAATCCAGAAGTTAAGAAGCAAAATCCACAAGAAAGTAGATAGGAAAGCCAGCAAAGGAAGGAAACTTCGGTGAGTTACTTTTTAGAAAAAATGTTAATCTTGTGTGTTGTTATCCATACCTCTTCTCTTGCATCTTGGCTATTACATCATTTTTCTATTTCTTTTGATGATTCTGTTTTTCAGGAGCAGAAAAATAACTAAAGCAATATTTGAGGCTTTTTTTGAGACTCCGGTTTTTTTTTTACTCTGTAATGGAAAGATAGTTACTTCTTGTTCTACTGTTGTGAATGGATGGGTTAAATGATATTTGCATTTCCCTGAAAGAGAAATAATAAGGAAATAAGACAAGATCGTTGAAATTGCCTTAGTTTTAAAAAATGATTTCTTTAGAACAATATAAAAATTGTATTTTGGAGTCTTGTTTAGACATAGAATTATATTGGTCCATTTTCATGATGCCATACATGTACGCAATATGCTAAAAAGGTAAAAATGAAGGATTCCAGAGAATGTTAACACTGCTTAAATGAGATGAGGAATATAATTTGTATGAGAACAGAGAGACATTTCTGAGTGTAGGAAAGCCCTCAACCCTGTGAGCCCTTGAAGGAGTCTTAAAAGTATGGAGACAAAAGATGGGGCAAGAGTAGAATTGACATTGCTATGCTTTCAGACTTAGATTCCTTGTAACTATTTTTATATATTACATAATATCACTCTCACAGGGCCTCAGTGTCAAAGAAACTACTTGTAATTCAGGTGCACACTGAAAAAAAAATGTTAAACTCATTGTGTTAGGACAGTTTTAGGCAGATAGCTAATCCCACATCCTTATTAGAGCCTGCCTGTCATTAAATTCCCTTTAGACAAATGTGGATCTGTCTCATTTTTAAATATCTTCAGAGAAGCAGATTTCACTACTTCAATTAACCTGTTTTAGTATTTAACAAAACTCATCAGGAAATGCTTATTTTTCTTTAACTTTGCAGAAGTGCAAAGTAGCTTTTCATCATCTTGTGCTTGAAAGTCACTTTCTTAAATCTCAGGTTAAATTGTTATAATTTGTTTATGTTTTTTCATATGTTGAAGTTTCCAAGTCTTCATACTTCTCCAAGTTTGTTTTCAGTGTACTAGTTAAGAGCATGGTCTCAAGAGCCTGACTGCCTGAGTTTGAATCCCAGCTTTGACAGTGTGGGATATGACACTCTAGTAGTTACCCCGACAAGACCCTTAAACTCTCTGTGCTAGTTTCTTCATCTGTAGAATGGGGATGATAATAGTACAAGACTTGTAGGGTTGCTGTGAGGTTTAAATGAGTAAGTATATATACAGCTTTTAGAACAGTGCCAGGGACACAGCAAGCACTATATACGTGTCTGTTGCCATCATTCCTATCATTATTATTGCTGTTATTATTCCAAGACTGGATCAGTCTCCTCCTGGAACGTTCATTTACTTACTCACTCACATACATGCCTCTTTTGTACCTGTCTCTTCTGTACCCCCCCCCCACCCGGAAGGATTTAAAGAAGAATGTTATTACTAGTACTTTGTAATTGACCAGGCTGATTAAATACCTACTCTTTAATTTTGAGATTAGACTTTTCTCCAGTACGGTGCTTTTAAAATTATAGCTTTGAGAAAGACAAATACTCTATGTTATCACTTGCATGTGGAATCTAAAAAATGAAACAAACGAATGTACCTAACACAACAGAAACAGGCTCACAGATACAGAGAACAAACCAGTGCTTACCAGTGGGGAGAGGGAAGGAGGGAGGGGCGAGATAAGGGTATGGGATTAAGAGACACAAACTACTGTATATAAAATAAATAAGGAGCAAGCATATATTATACAGCACAGGGAATATAGCCATTATTTTATAATAACTTTAGATGGAGTATAATCTATAAAAATATTGAATCACTGTGTTGTACACCTGAAACTAATAATATTGTAGATCAACTGTACTTCTAATTAATTAATTTAATAGCTTTGTGAGGCTTTAAATGTTCTCTAGAGGGAGGAGCCCGGGATTTCAGATCAGGAGACTGGCTCTGTCTGGCTCTATGATTTTGGTTGCTCTTTATTCTCTGAGCCTCACTTTTCTCATTTAATAAGTGGAGATACTAATCCCTACTTTATAGATTTGGTTTGAGGATTAAAACAAGGTGAATATGTCTGGTACGTAGGAAGCATTCGAAAATATTAGTTTCTTTGGTTTCTTGTGTTTATCTGTTGACGTTGCTGTTGCAAATATACGCTCTTCAAAAGAACTGAGAGTGGCCAAAAATGCCTTTTTTACATTATCATATGTTTATGAGTTTTAAAACTGTTAGGGCAAGTAGCTATAATCGTGTGTCCCTTGAGGGCAAGTATTGCACTGTTTTTTCAAGACAGTTCCAACCTTAACCGTCTACCGTAGTGCCTCGTAGACATGTTTTTGGATGATTATAACAGTAAAATTAACACGCTTGTCAGGTAAGACTTTCTGTAAGATGCAGCATCCACACTTCACAGTGTGAAGTGAGCAGACTAGGAAGAGTGAGCCTAGGGAAAGGCCACAAAGAATAATGTTTGCCAAAATACAGACCTGAGAGTGTACACGTCCGTTTTGGGAACTGCATTTGTTTTGACAGAGACTTAAACTGAGTATGGGGGAATGGCAGGAGATGAGGCTGTATGAATAAGTGAGCGCTAGATTGTGGTCAAGCTCAGAATTCAGACTTTAAAGACTGTAGCAAGTCATTGAAAAATAAGGAAGCCTGAGCACCTGTCACAGATTGGAGGAGACTTAAGGAGACACCACAGTTAGGTGCAATGTGGGGTCCTAGGTTGGATCCTGGAAAAGAAAAAGGACACTAGGGTAAAAATGGGTGAAGTTTGAATAAGGTCTATGGTTTAGTTAATAGTATTGTACCAATGTTAATTTCCTAATTTTGATAATTACACTGTACTTGTGTAAGCTGTTAACATTAGAGGAAGCTAGGTGAGGATATACATGAGTTCTCTGCACTATTTTTGCAACTTTTCTATAAGCCTAAAATTACTGCCAAATAAGAAGTAAAAAGAAAAGTAATAAATAAGGTCATGTGCTTTGAATTGTTTTGCAGTTTTATCATCAGTATTCACCTGGCTCTCTTTGTGAACATCAGTGTGCGGGATGTGGTCAGAATCAGAGTGATCTTGTTAGCAATAGCAACAACTAACATTTATAAAACTCTGTTGGGCACTGCAAAGCAATTTACATGCCGAGGTAGAAAAGGCATAGGCTCTGATGCTAAACTGTCTGGGTTTGAAATCTGACACTTCACTTACTGGCCTTTAGACCTTGGGCAAGATACTTTACATCTTTGTGCTTCAGTTTCCTCATCTGTCAACCTAGCATGATGATAAAAGGCACATCTCATAGGATTGTTATGCAGATTGAATTAGCTCATTCATGTAAAGTAGTTCGGAAGGTAAGTAGCTCGCCCAGGTTACAGAACTAGCAAGCACAAACTTGGATTTGAGCTAATTGGTCTGATTCCAGAGCCCATGCTTCTAACCTGTGGCTATTGAGTTGTTTCTCTGGCCAGGACCTTTGCAGACACCAAAATGGTACCTTGGCTACATTAGAATTCTGCCATGATGGATTTAACAAGGGGCCCAGGCTAGATGAGAATAGCATAAATAACTTCCTTAAATTAGACCCCCAGAAGAGCTGGTGGGATGTGCCAACTGTCATCACTGGTACTAGATTCCACCAGTGAGCAAGCTTTGCTTTGTGTGATATGGTTGGAGAGAGAAGAAATGTCCTAGCAAAGATGAACATCACCTTGTGGAAACCTTAGTTTAAATGGTAGCAGGTCAGTGGCATGATCCTGGTCAGACTGGGTGTGGCAATTTGCTAGTTGGATGCTGGAAAATAACTTATAAAAAAAAGAAATGTTTTGGTTTTGGGAAGTAATTATAATTATTGACTATCAGTCTTTTACTCAGCATTATCTGTAAGTGGATTTGATCATGATTTAAGCAGAATTCATAATGTAAATGAATGAAGCTCTCGGGTCTTTAATAATGAGATGTCATACTGTGTTTTGTGTTTGTCTATTTTTCTGCAACAAAATTATATTTATCTCTTCTTAGTATGGTTGGTAAAAGGTATTTTAATACTAAAACATGCATCCATCCTCAGTAGCACTGAGATTAGGTAAAATGCATTGTATTAAGTACACATTACTAAATCTGATTACTTCTTAAAGCCTGTCTTTCATCATGCAGCTAATAGTTATTGAATATATTTTACTAAAGTGTAAAGGTATTCCACAGAGCAGTGCCATCCAATAAAAATGTCTTTACCTGCGTAATTTTAAATGTTCTAGTAGCCACAATTGAAAAGGGGAAAAAATGAAACAAGTGAACTTAATAATATATTTCACGTAACCCAATATATAAAAAATATTATTTCAACAATTTATTGTTTTAAAAATTATTAGTGATATATTTTACATTTTTTGCATCTCAAGTTTTCAAAATCTGGAGCACATCTCAGTTTGGCACATTTCAGGTGCTCAGTAGCCACGTGTGGCCAGTGACTCCCGGATTGGACAACACAACTATAAGGTGTAGTTCATAGTCTTTGTCTAGACAGTAAATTAAACCTGTATTTGGACACAGCCAAGAACAGTTTTCATTTTTTCAGATGAACAGTGAAGTTTGGCGAAGCCTAAAGACATTAAAATACATTTATTAATTGTACTTACACTTTATACTTAAATAAAAAGGTTATGTAAATAATTATATTCTTGTACATTAACGTAACCTTTGGGGAGGGCATTTAGCTTACTTTTTCAATTTTAAATATGCATACTTTTCGATTCACCAGCAAAGCAATTCCACATCTCAAAATTTATCCCATAGAAATGTGTGAACAAACATACAATAATTTATATATAAGAATCTTCGGGCTTCCCTGGTGGCGCAGTGTTTGAGAGTCCGCCTGTCGAAGTAGGGGACACGGGTTCGTGCCCCGGTCCGGGAAGATGCCACATGCCGTGGAGCTGCTGGGCCCGTGAGCCATGGCCGCTGAGCCTGCTCATCCGGAACCTGTGCTCCACAACGGGAGAGGCCACAACAGTGAGAGGCCTGCGTACCACAAAAAAAAAAAAAAAAAGAATCTTCACTTTAGCTAAGTCAGAAAGAGAAAGACAAATACCATGTGATATCTCTTATATGTGGAATGTAAAATATGACACAAATGAACTACAAAACAGACACAGACATAGAGAACAGACTTGTGGTTGCCAAATGGGGGGCAGTGGGGGAGAGATGGACTGGGAGTTTGGGATTAGCAGTTGCAGACTAGTATATATAGAATGCATAAACAACAAGGTCCTACTGTATAACACAGAGAATTATATTCAATATCCTGCGATAAACCATAATGGAAAAGAATATGAATAGGAATGTGTGTGTGTGTGTAACTGAATCACTTTGCTATGCAGCAGAAATTAACACAATTTTGTAAATCAACTATGTGTCAATAAAATAAATTTCTAAAAGTTTTGAAAAGTCTTCACTTTCGCACTGTTTAATATGGTTTTTAAAGGGGATAGGCTGTATAATGCCTATCAGTAGGAGGTTTAATAAATTATATTGGCACGACAGAATATCCTGTAACTATTTAAAAGAATAGAATGTGACAAAGCGGAAAAAAGCATAATGCAGAATATTAAGTATCTTACAGTCTCATTTTTATGTGAAAATATATAAAGTTTATATTTGTCTTATATATGGAGAATGCCACAGACAAACTTAACAATGATTAACAGTGATTTAATTAACAGTGATTATTTCTGGGGTATAGGACTACAGGGAACTTGTCAGCTCTCTATACATTTTGGAATTTGAAATTTTATATTATTTTTTATAATTAGGAGATAGGGACATTAAAAAATGTACAGTGAACAGATATTTTGTTGCATCTTACAAAAAGTGAAGAATTGGAAGCAATATGAATGTTCAAGTATATGAAAATATAGTTATGGTACTTCCATTCCTGGAATTTTGTATATAGCTTTGAGATACAATGCTAAGTGAAAAAAAAAGATATGAAATTATGTGTGTGTATGGATTTCTATATAAAATGAACATAATTGGGCTTCCCTGGTGGCGCAGTGGTTGAGAGTCCGCCTGCCGATGCAGGGGACACGGGTTCATGCCCCGGTCTGGGAAGATCCCATATGCCCCGGAGCGGCTGGGCCCATCAGCCATGGCCACTGAGCCTGCGCGTCCAGAGCCTGTGCTCCACAACAGGAGAGGCCACAACAGTGAGAGGCCCGTGTACTGCAGAAAAAAAAAAAAATAATAATTAATTAAATAAATAAAATGAACATAATTAACCAAAATATTAAACTCATAATAATAATAAATATTAATAACAGTTCTTCTCTAGGTGGAAGAACTATGTATGTTATTATTATTATTTTTTTTTTGCTGTATGCGGGCCTCTCCCTGCTGTGGCCTCTCCCGTTGTGGAGCACAGGCTCCGGACGCGCAGGCTCAGCGGCCATGGCTCACAGGCCCAGCCGCTCCGCGGCACGCGGGATCCTCTCAGACCGGGGCACAAACCCGTGTCCCCTGCATCGGCAGGAGGACTCCCAACCACTGCGCCACCAGGGAAGCCCCTATGTATGTATTTTTGTGTGTGCCCAGTTGGTTTGTTTTCTAAATTTTCTGTAATGAATTATGCTTTTTGTATTACTCTTATAATGGGAAAAATCTCATCACTATTATTCTTTTAAATTCATTTGTTAAAAAAATGAGTGAAATTTGGGAGGCTTGGCTATTGGTGGTGTAGTAGAGAATCAAATTCTTTGATGTGTGTAAAAATGTTTTTAAAACTGTAAAACATTACACATGTGAAAATATTTATATCATATTTTTTTGTGGATAGTGTTTTGCCCAAGAACAAGTTTTTCTGGTTAGAATTTTATTGGGCTGGGCTAAAAGTTCATTTGGGTTTTCCGTAACATGGAAAAACCCAAATGAACTTTTTGGCCAACAAATATACTGTGCATATTGTCCTTCAGCTTCTCCTTTTATAATGAACAGAAAGGGATACCTTCTTTGAATTCTCTTTGGTGTAATTTCTTCTGTATAAGGTCAAATATTTGTTCAGCCCCCCTTCACCAGAGGATCTCAAAGCACTTTGTACAAAAATACCCTTTTTTTCTATTGGTGGGAGATGGAGGTGACATAACTTAAATTTCTGTAACACCTTGACTGAAGATCTAAGGATCAGACTTCTTATGTACTCAGTTGCATGTGTCATTTGAAGATGGGTGAGGGGCTTCCCCGGTGGCGCAGTGGTTAGGAATCCACCTGCCAATGCAGGGGACACGTGTTCGAGCCCTGCTCCGGGAAGATCCCACATGCCGCGGAGCAACTAAGCCCGTGTGCCACGACTACTGAGCCTGCGTTCTAGAGCCCGTGAGCCACAACTACTGAGCCCATGTGCTGCAACTACTGAAGCCCGCGCACCTAGAGCCTGTGCTCCGCAACAAGAGAAGCCACTGCAGTGAGAAGCCTGCGCACCGCAGTGAAGAGTAGCCCCCGCTCGCCGCAACTAGAGAAAGTCCGCGTGCAGCAACGAAGACCCAATGCAGCCAAAAAAAAAAAAAAACGGCGAAATGAAAGACCTGGTGGAGCTAGTGAGTGAAGGTGATTCTAGAAGCCTTTTCTGACTCAGGGAGCTAGTGAGTGATGGTGGTGGTGAGGTGTTCCATTTGAATGTTATGCCACTACCTGTGCTACTGCCAGTAGGTAGCTTTAATGACACTGAAAAATGATTAAGATGTGTGTAGAGGAGGGAAGATGAGGTAGTCATCTCCTCGTTGTCTTTGTCTGGAGTGATGTTTAAGGGCTAGTAGATTGCTCAAGGGCACAGGTCTATCTACTCATTTTTTGGGCGTTGGAGCTCTGTTGAGCTACTGTCATTCACAGTGTGCTTTTATCACACTTTTCTCCTGTAGTCTTAAGGAAAAAGTGTTTTTATGGTCGTGAGTGGTTCGTGCCTATGAATTGTTCCCTGTTGCACTCTGGAGCCAGGTATACCTGTGATCAGTTCTGGAGTTTGTTACCTGGTAGGGTGTATTTCCTTTTCTAGGTTAATAGTTACTGATGTTGCTGCCTGTTTGTTTCCTACTTTATTAGGTTTCACGTCCTTAGCAGGCTTCTGAGCTTCATGGCACCTATTGACCATACCACAATGAATGATGATGCCAGGTGAGTAATAGATTTAATTATATGTCTCAAATGGCTTCATGACAGCCCGATATTGACCTGTTCTACAGCCTGTCGCCCTCTCCATTTCTTCTTATCAGTGAACCATTTGTCATTGGCATCATAGCAAGGGTCCTCGTCACATCTCTTCACTCCCATCATTACTGTAAGACCAAAACAAAATTCCCGTAAATCTCAGTGCTGCCTCTGGTGGGTTTTTTGTTTGTTTTTGCTGTTTTGTTTTGTTTTTAACTTTAGCCACCTGCCTAGGACATCGGAGCTCTTCTCTAGACAGATGGGTTAGGACAGCACACACACTTGCTTCATGTGTTTGGGGGTTTTATGCATATGTTCTCCTTTTAAAAATGGGTCTAGAGATTGCTCTAGAGATCTGCATTATGTTGTGTTTGTTCAGGCTGCTGTTGAGGTTTTTTTTATTTTGGGTATTTTTACAAAAGAAGTACATGCTCATTTTACAAAGCTGAAACTAGAAATGTGTACAGAAGAAAATGTATACATGTACTCAATTCGGAGATAACCACTTTTTAAAGAATCATTCCTTTTGTATTTATTAGTTGGCATTCTACTACATCATAATATTTTTATAATATTATTTATCTATCCATATTCCTTCTCCTTGATTTGTTTAGCATTTATTTATTCATTTATATCAGTATGGATTCATGCTCTCCTATTTTATTCAAGTTAGTTATGATCTGTTACTGTCATTATTTATTTTGATTTAAAATTATCTCAGGTTAACAGAAGCCCCTTCAAGCTGGCTTGCATCTTTTTGAGATGTCCCCAATTATTCCTTGAGTGCTTCCTTACTTTCCACCACAGCTAGGTGTTCTAGGCTCATCTTATATTTTCTCTGTTCCAGCCCTGGAGTCAGTCTTTCTCCAGGGAGTTCTCACTCTTTTTAGTGAACTGTGGTTTTTAGAACCTAAGGTCTGGGTGCTGGGGTGCTCATTGTTCTGGGTGTCATTGTTCATAGGCTCTCTCAGCGTATAGAGGTTGGAAATGTGTGTATATACACATACCCATACATAGGAGACAACCACTTTTAGTATCTCAGAATATTTCCTTTCAGTCTTTGAGTCCCCTTTTAGTATGTTCTTGTTTTTATTTTTATATAATTAAAATTATATTCAACAATATAGAATTATATTCTGTATTGTGATTTTTTCTTTAAATATTTTGTATACTGTGATCATTTCATGTCATTAAAATTATTCAAAAATTTAAGTGACTGTGTAATATTTTTATATTACCTATTGAGCCATTCACTAATTGTTGGAAATTTAAATTGTTTTTAATTATCATTGTTGTAATGCTGTGATAGACACTTTAAAACATAAGTCTTCACCAAGTGAAATTATTGGTCATAATGTAGGCACATGTGGGTTTTGCCAGCTTTATCCCTCAAGCTACATTCAACCTTTTTATTTGAGAGTATTTAGTTTGCTAATAAACCCCATCAGATTTCCCCCCTTGCTTGAAAAGTAGTAGATGTGCAAGTTTAGTTGAACACGATGATTATCAATTTTTTGTTTGCATTTGTTCAGTGCTTTGAGTACAAAATAGCTTACGGGTGGCGCTGAGTCCATTTATACGCATATCTTTGTGACTTCCTGCACTCTCCTGTGCTTTGCAAATGAATGCCTTTGTCTGGCTGGGTTTTGTTTGTTTGTTTTTCCATTTATTTCTGGGTCTGATCTGTTTTTAAAAATAATAGAGTGAGGGACTTCCCTGGTGGTGCAGTGGTTAAGAATCCGCCTGCCAATGCAGGGGACACAGGTTCAGAGCCCTGGTCCAGGAAGATCCTACATGCCACAGAGCAACTAAACCCGTGCACCACAGCTACTGAGCCTGTGCTCTAGAGCCCAAGAGCCACAACTGCTGAGTCCCCGCTCCACAACTACTGAAGCCTGTGGGTCCTAGAGCCCATGCACCACAACTACTGAGCCCACACGCCGCAACTACTGAGCCCACGCGCCACAACTACTGAAGCCCATGCCCTCTAGGGCCCACATGCCGCAACTACTGAGCCCGCATACTGCAACTACTGAGGCCTGTGCGCCTAGAGCACATGCTCCGCAACAAGAGAAGCCACCGAGAAGCCACCACAACGAGAGGCCCGTGCACCACAACGAAGAGTAGCCCCCGCTTGCCGCAACTAGAGAAAGCCCGTGCAGCAACGAAGACCCAGCGCAGCCAATAAATAAGTAAATAAGTATATAAATAAAAGCAAGAGAAAAAACAAATTAAAAAAATAATAGAGTAAAATGAATGCTTCTTAGGTTCTCTGTCAGGATGACATGAAAAAATTACTTCAATAGAAAAGGAAAACTAGGCACTTAAAAACTAAAATCCATTAAGGTAACATTATTATCCCAGGCATAAAGTGAAATCTAGTTTAAGTATTGGTGGCATCTTTTGAATATAGTACTACTAGATCATTTAGAAATCGATTGTCATTCCTAGCTGGGATTTTTCTTGAATCACCTGATACCCCCGGACACTTAGTTTCCCAGAATCTTGTTTATTCACTCATAGTTTTTAAGGGTCTGCTATATGCTAGACATAAAGTTTATTTGAAAACGACTTTATTATTTAGGATTATGTTGGGCTTGGTCTGCAAGAAACATAAAATATGACTACAGAGGTATAAGCAAATGGGAGTTTATTTTTCTAACAGAATATTCCTAGGGGTGGCAGGTAATTACTGGCAATGGCTTTTCCCTTCTCAGTAGTATTAAGGCCAACATACCTTGGTCCTCCCCCTGTGGTTGCAAGGTGGTTGCTGCAGCTTTAGCCATCAAGTATGCATTCCAGGCAGGAAGAAGAGGAAAGGAGTGGTGTCAGCCATACTGATTTTCTTTTATCAGAATGCCCTCCAAAAACAACTTCTCATATCTCATTGGTCATAACTCTGTTATGTTGCCACTTCAGGTAGAGCAGGCAAAGGGAGGAGGGGTTGGGAATGTGTTTGCTGGGTAACTGTGTGGCATTTGGTGTTAGTGGGGGAAAAAGCTATCCCTTGTAGACGCTGCTAATTATCAGCATTGTTCTCCCGCTGGTTTAGCCACTTTGTAACAAGGAATTTAATAAGAGTGTTACAGCTAGAGAACTGAGCATTTGTTTTTACCAAGTACGCTCCCTTTGCATTGTGTTTCTTAAGGACACAGAGGCAGACATCCACGTTACTGCTTGTGCTCCAGAGTCTGAATAGGCCAGACTAACTATAGACAGAGTAAGTGAGTATTAGCTCTTTCTGCTTCTGGTATCAAATATTCCAGGGCCCATAGGTAGTGTTAGGTAGTATCTTTTTTTTTAAAACTATATCTTAAGAAGGAGCCCGTCATAGCTTGGCCTGTTTTGTTTTTTGTTTAGGTAATTCCATAACTGGAAACAACCTAGCACTGTTCTATTTGGTTTCTCACTTTGTATGCCACAAAATTTGAGGAATGGGAAACTTTCATTTCAGCATCAGTGCATACTATTGATACTTTTCTCCAAGTGAATAGTTCTGGTTTTGATAAGTTACAGATATATCATTCTTTTTTTTTTTTTTTAAACAATGATATAGAGTTATTGAAGGTAAACTTCTGGGAAAATTCAACCCATTTTTATAGTTGCATCTATGGTAGAGTAGAACAAAGTTACAGATATGTCATTCTTGGTGTGCATGTATGAATAGAGAATTCTTTATGATTTTGAAGTAGAGAAAGGCTTTGTAAGCATGACACGAAGGCCAGAAGCCACGGGGAAAGTACTAGTAGCTATGACTACATAAGAGTCACAGTGAAAAAGATACCAAAAACAAAGTTATAAGTAAATGACAAACTGGGAAGAAAAAGTTCAATGTAACATTACTGTGTAAGAATGCTATGGAAAGAGTTTTTACAGATCTCTAAGAATATCCCAATAAAAATAATGGGTAAAGCGTGTCAACAAGCAAACTTAGAGATCGTAAAAGAAAAATCGCAAATGGCCAAAAAATATAAAAACTGTCAATCTCGTTAATCAAATAAATGGATATTAAAATAATGAGATTTCATTTTTTTCTTATTAAATTGGAAAACATTAAAAGAGTGATAATCACTAATGTCGATGGTGTGAGGAAACAGACGCTTTCATTTACTGTTGTTAGGAATGTAAATGGCAAAATCATTTTGGAGGGCTATTTGGCAATGTTTTTCAAAATTTTAAATGTAAATATCTGTTGACCCAGAGAAATCTCACTTTTAGGAATTGACCTAAGGAGACCTAAGGAAATAGCAAGTTAGCAAATATTTTTGTATCAAGGATCTTTATTGCAACATTGTTTATAATGGGGAAAAATAAGAAACAATCCAAATGACCATCAATAGGGAACTAGTTAAAATCACAGAAAATCATTCATTGAAGTTATAAGCAACTGTTAAAGGAGGAAGTGGAGCTGTACGTATTAACATAATGTTTAATGTAATAAATAGGCTACAGAATACTATATCATAATCCTACTTTTGAGTAAATAAATGTGTACGATTGAAGAAAAAGTGATGCCTTACAAAAAAATATATTATACTGTCATGGCAAGATCTCCAGGTTATTTTGTTAACTAGAAAAAGAAACATCCATTTATGTAATATCCATTTATGTTTTTAAAATAAATATTAAACAGCTGTGTATGTATACGTATGTATGGATATGTTACACATCAGTAATATTTAAAATGTTTACCTACAGGGAAGGGACTGGGAGGAGGAAGGGGCAAAGGGAGATTTCCACCTTTTTTTGTTTCTCATACTTCTGTTTTGCTCTAATTTCCTGCCATGAGGATGCATTCATATTAAGTGTCACTAAAAAAAATAAGAAACTCTGAAAACAGTGTACACCAAACTCTTCACATGTTTATTGCTGGGCAGGGTGGAGTAGAAGACACATTTTATTTTCTAGTCTATTATTTCTGTAGTATTTGATTTTTTTTTTTTACAATAAATTTGTATTGCTTTTTA